AGACAAGAAAAGAGCCGACAGCAACATTAGAGAGGAATGATGGAAAGATATTGTGCTTATGGCTTCTTAATATTATGCTAAAATGGAAAGAATCTTTTTATTTGCATAGTGAATGATATATCCGTTTATGTGTGCAACAAAGTAAACCAAATTTTAAGTTGATTCCCCTGAAATAAACACTGTGGCTCAGCATCTCAACCAGTCCAACTCAGAAACGCATCTTAAATTGCAATTGGGGGCGGGGCTATCTGCTTGCCCAACCAATGAATGAAAAGGGGCGTCATTATTTATGCAAATAATTTTGGTGATGTTATAATGGCGAAAAACGTACACACTTAACAAATTATCTAATACAGGATAATTAACTGATGCTTAAAATGATAGATTAGATAAGTTTTAGGTGATTTATATGAACATTTGATGCTACAGTAACATCTACTTATTTAAGCTTATTCCTAGCAATCATTATATAAATAGTACAACAGTACATACTGTGTGTGTGTGTGTATTTCTGAATCATTAAGTGTGTCAAGCTAGAGTCAACAAAAACATCGATGTCAATGCAAATAAATGAAAACTAGTGGCTGTGACAACATTTTCATAATCTCACATTCATAATATAGAGTGGTTCAAGAAATGTTAGCTTCTGCAAGTACTATATTTATAATAGTAAAATAAATACCCTTTAAAGTTGGCTCTGGCTGGCACATTAAGCATATAGACATAGCATACATATTTTCCATGGTTAAATACTATCACAGCTGTGGAGTTACATGTCAAGGACATTAAGTACAGTCACACATCTAAAAGAGGAGAGACACACAGACAAAACTAAATAATCTATTCCACGGGTGAATTTAAAAGCAAAACCCAGTCATCTAACGCTCCCCTCTACACCAGAATAACATCCCGTTAGGTCAAAGCGTTAAACGTCTGGTGGTGGGGGGTGTGTGGCATAGTTATGAGATGACAGATGATTGCATAATTTTAATGCTGCCAGGAGAGGCTGGGCTAATGTTGACACAAAACCTAATACTTCCTTGCAGAGGAACAGGCTGGCTCAGGCTCGGCCTCATCCCAGAGCAGAGCGCTACGAGGACCTTCAACACGGCAAGCAAAAACCCCTGAACGCTGCAGGATTAGTACCTGCCTCACTTCTCTAAACGTGCGAGTACCACCTTTTCTCACACGTTCATCGAAACACTGCTTTTTTCATTTTTATATTTATACGACTAGCGAAACAAGTATTCAAACACATCACAAATCATTAATAAATCATCATGCTGATCTACAGGTTATTTTAACTGAAACAATAAATGGAGAGTAAAGGCATTCTTGGTAAAAACACAATGTCAGGGTGTACTTGTAGGGTGTATGGCTCCAGTCATGTAGAAAACACATTGCCAGACCCAAAATCCACTCATGTCAGGGGGAATGCAGCATCCCGCTCGCAAAGCAGAGCTAATTAAAAAACAACACATAGCAGGAGGACGCCCCCACGGTGCTAAAATAGAACTATCAGCACACTAGGGGATCATCCACAACTTCCTACTTCAAGCAAATTATCCCTGGACCAAGACTAACAACAGACTTGAGCCAGGTTCCACTGCACTAAAGGCCAGACGAGAACATTTGAACACTCAGCATTTGAATAATACAGAAATATATACTCTTCAGTAAAACAAAAATAAATAAAATTGAACGGCAGAAGTTGAGGCATATCTATCTATCTATCTATCTATCTATCTATCTATGCACAGACAAACCCTGAGTGCACAGAAACCCTCCTTACCTACTTCTCTCATGGTACAGAAATCCTGTTATATATTTGATAATAATTCAAATCACAATAATGAGTTAAATAAAACAGCAAGAATAATTTAGTCTCTCTCTCACATACAAACAAATAAAATAAAAATCTTTGCTGAAAACAACTTTTCAGTTTCACACATTTTCATAACATTAGAAACAACAATCATTCTTTTCCTTTGCAGTAAATCTATTCTGATAATTTTGAGTATTTATTAAATAAAAACAAAGTAATTATTAAAAATAAATATATAAATATATTTGTATGTAGGCTATGTATATATATATATATATATATATATATACATATATATGAATATATAACA